GCATTAAAAAGGATGTTTAATGACCCGTGGCTTGGGTACATGCTGGCCGCATAAGCCTAAAACATAGGCGGTTTAAACAACGGGCTCTATCGACAAGCCCCTTTTTTAAATCAAAACGTCTCTAGATGAAATATGTTAATGAAGGCTTCTTGGTTCAGTTTTTCTCACCCCATTTTATTACTACATTTTACTACCTTTGTTGTATCCCAACCAGCTTTTAAGAGTGAAAGAAAATGTGCCTTTTTAGAACATCTTGGGATAAAAGCGGTAAACTAAAAAGCTTTTATTTTTTAGGGACAATTATTTTAAAAAATTGCTAATAATGATCTGTTTAGGAATTTAATAAATTCATATACTTTTACAGATTTGAACTTCAAGGTTCGCTCTTGAAGAAGAAAGCAAATTCAGTAGTGACTGCCAAGCTCTGGACCTATTTTATGGTCATCATCAGAGCAAAACAATCTTAAATATTTACTGCCAAGCTGTCGACCTATTTTATGGTCATCATCAGGGCAAAATAATCTGAAATATATGTACAGATATTTTGTGTTTTGCAGGCGATCTAAAATTTCTTGAAGACCGACTCAGTAAAATATTGATCAATCCATTATATTTCGTGGTACGATTGACCAAATAACTTCTTTTAATTAATTTATTTATATGTAATGTATTGGTTGAAATGAAAAATTCAGTGTCAAGAACGGGATTCGAACCCACGACCTTCGGCTAAATACGCCACTGCTCTACCACTTGAGCTATCGTGACTTCGATCCACACGGACACCAACTTCCTATCTCAACCAATACCTTACACAAAGATTAATTAATTGAAAAAAATTATTTAGTCAATCGGACCAGGAAATATTAATGATTGACTAAGTACAACGAAATATGTCTTCACTAAACTTTTTTTAAACGAGGGTTCGCAACAGCAGAGGTCATATATACCCTCAGGGTGTTAAGGTTAAAAAGTGAACACAAATTAAATTTTATTAATTTAAGCTTCTAATTTTTTTCTTTTTTAGCCAGTTAGACGATAAATTAAAATTACCGATTGCTGAAGTTTCTCTAGAACGAGTCTATGAATTTTCGAGGAAGACATTTGATCCACGCATTTTGAAATTCCTTTCCATTAAAAAAAATTGTTACCAGAAATCCAAAATTCTAGATATATTGAACTTTTCTACAGAACTTCATAATTTCAATTTATCGTTCTACTGATTATCGTTGTTTAAAGTTAGGTTTAAAAACATTTCATATCTTATCCAATTAAATTTATACTTTTCTTTTCTAAATTCTCTTTTTTTAACTAGTCACAAAATATTAAATTCAACGAGTTCAAATTCTGCGACAGCAGATTCTACGTGAAAAAATACCTTTAGAAACATGACAAGTTCTACAATAGAAAAGTGAGGACATGTCTTTTACTACTCACAATTTTTTTGGTTTTGTTTCATGTTTTCACTTGTAATAAAGCGTGGAAATACAAATAAAACAAAAACAAAAAAATATATAAATAGAAATACGATATAAATCAATCTTTTTATTATTACAATAATTAATTGTTTTAACATTGTAAAAGTCATAAAATAAGAAATTATAGTCAAATGAACATCTAGTACATCCAAACCACTTTAGAAATTATCTTTCAATTAATGAAAATTAAACTTTTGAATTTTCTCTCCTTTGTGCCATTTTTCAAATTAATGAATTTAATAAGTTAAAATGAAGTATACTTCACTAAAAGCTCTCCGTGGCCATTTCATTTGTCGACGAGAATCGAATCCTGATTACACGACATTTGAAAAATGGCAAAAAAGGAAGAAAAGTTCAAAAGGTGGGGTTGAGAAGGGAAGTTAGTGTCCGACTGGATCGAAGACACGATAGCTCAAGTGGTAGAGCAGTGGCATATCTAGCCGAAGGTCGTGGGTTCGAATCCCGCTCGTGACACTGACTATTTTATCTCAACTAAAATCCATAATTAATTGAAAGATTGGTCAAGCGGACCGCGAAAATTAGTGAATTTAAAAATTATGCTGATTCGTGTTTCAAAATAAGCCTAATATGTATGGTTTTTCCAATTGAGCCCAAGTCCTTACAATTTTTTTTTGGCGAAAATATTAAAACGCTAGTCATGTAAGATTGCTCAAGAAATTTTGGGTCAATTAATGCTTCCAGTTTGTTTTTGTGCTTCACATCGAACTTTTTTGCTGTTGAGACTTTCGGAGGCTTATTATTCTTTTTATTATTACAATAATTAATTGTTTTAACATTGTAAAAGTCATAAAATAAGAAATTAAAGTCAAATGAACATCTAGTACATCCAAACCACTTTAGAAATTATCTTTCAATTAATTAAGGTTTTTAGTTGAGATAAAAAAGTCAGTGTCTCGAGCGGGATTCGAACCCACTACCTTCGGCTTGATACGCCGCTACTCTACCACTTGAGCTATCGTGACTTCGATCCACTCGGACACTAACTTCCCATCTCAACCCCACCTTTTGAATTTTCTCTCCTTTTTGCCATTTTTCAAATTAGTGAATTTAATAAGTTAAAATGAAGTATACTTCACTAAAGCTCTCCGTGGCCATGTCATTTGTCGCCGAGCATCGAATCCTGATTACATGACATTTGAAAAATAGGAAAAAGGCGGAAAATTCGAAAGGTTGGTTAAGATGGGAAGTTAGTGTCCGAGTGGATCGAAGTCACAATAGTTCAAGTGGTAGAGCAGCGGCGTATTTAGCCGAAGGTCGTGGGTTCGAATCCCGCTGGTGACACTGACTTTTTCATTTCAACCAATACCTTACATAAAGATTAATTAATTGAAAGAAGTATATTCAATACTGTTAAAATCCTTGGCAATGCTAGGACTGAGTCGGTCTTCAAGGAAATTTGAGATCGCCTTTATAAAAACCTAAATATGTCAATTTGTAGCCATATTGAATATTGTTTTGACATGACGATGACCTTAGAATATGTCGAAAACTTAGCAGTAACAATTTAATTAGCTTTCTTCTTCCAGATCATTCCTTGATCCAGTGTTCGTCAGTGATAAGTGGTCGATATTTCTAACTGAAAATTTGACCAAACGAAACATTTCAACGATTCAAAGGGCGATGAATCATGATGGAGACAGTTGTCGATGGTGTACATCAGCCGTTGATCATTAATAACCATTACCGTCCGCCTATTTTTGACGGTTGTAAATCATATTTATTTCGGTCGTGATTCGTGGGTTGAATATCACCTCCCTTGATTTCAATTGAAGGGCGAGTTTGTAAATAAAACAACGCAGTTTCAATTGTTGATGTTTATTTTATATTAATAAAGTTTTATTATTGTTCATAGAAATATAGCTGTTGTATAGGATGGTCGGTTAATTTATTCATCATTTTGCTCAGATTATTTGATTTGATTTAAAAATCTGTACCAAACTCATTTTTTTAAGTTTTACCTCATTGATTTAGCTCATGTAGTTAGGTCAGGTGTATTGGAAGAAATGAGTTATACTGAGAAGGAGTGAGTTTTTACAACACTTTGGATTTAATTTTAAAATATGTCTTCCACTCTAAGTTTTATTTTTTCTAACCTGCGAAAGGTTTATTACTCAAAAATGCGCGCTAGCCTGAAGGAGCAAGGACAGGTTTATGGATTGTATTTTTTTACAAGGGTTCTCAACAGCAGAGGTCATATAAACCCTCAGCGTGTTTTTGAAAAAAAGCCCATTTGTATGTCGGGTTTGAATGCAGGGCCGCTGGATTCGAACCCGGGACCTTTACCTTACAGTGATGAGCGCCGTGTCAACGCTTAAACCGTCGAGGCCACCGACGCCCCTAGTATTGTAGACTATTGTTTGTTAATTTAAATTGAAGTTATATACTGGTCATTAACAAAAATTAAAATTACTTGTTTCAAGCGATTCATTATTTCATAGCTTATCGGATTAGATGATTGATTTTCCATCAATTAGCATCACATGAAATTTGACTTAAAATATCTTCTACCTCAGTTTTTACTTTTCTAACTTTCTTTTAAGTTGTGAGTCATTGATCAATTTGGTTGTCTGAAAGTACAAGGTCAGGATTATGTGCTGGGTGTAAATTTAAGATAATTACAACGGTGTGTTGTTTATGCCATATTAACCAAATCGTTTTTCCGATATTTTTTCAAAATGTAAATCTCGTTCAAAATAGAGTGTGATCGTTTTTTATAAATTGATTGAGAAGTTTTTAAATTGGCTGAGAAGACTGACCTCGGTTCTATTGTCCAGAAGAGTTTGCATTGATCCAGTCCTTTTTCCACCAAGGTCTTTAGGTTCAGTTGGCTACGAAGTGTGCAAAAGTAAAATTTCTTTTTGTACATGTTCTTTTTCACTTGCTCTAACTTGTGTAAGTGGCAATTCACATTTAACTGCTAACCTAGTTCCTTCAGTGTTTTTTGTACAAACCGTCTATTCGCTACGGATGGCTTGTCTAAATCTTCCTTTTTATATCGACTTATCCTCTTTCGAATTTGACATAGTATCTATAATTTCTATCTGCAAATGGTATTTGACCACCTGAATTTTGTTACGTTCCGTCAATAAAGACCTCTTTAGGGCTGCATTGTGCTTGTAGGAAGTTGACCCGTGTGGTAAGCCGCAGGATTGCTCGTGGACGACCGCCGCCCTGGAGAACTGCTTCTTTAATTTATAACTTTCCACTACTAGCAATCTAAAGCAGCAAGAGATGAAAAACCGCATATGAAACTCAATGATTATGTTTAATAATTGTGCATTTTCCAATGATAAATTAAATAAATACACGATTTAATTACAAACTTTTCTGTTCAATGAATTTCTAAATAAATTAATTTAAAATTTAATATTTTATGCTAATTAGTATTGCTGTTGGGTAAGAAGTATCATCATAATAACATGAAGTATTTTCTTTTTATTAATTTAAAAAATACTTTTAACCATCTTATTTAACATGGATAATAATTAATTAATTTTTTTTCAGATGAAGGAAGTTCTCCGCGGTTCCAGCCGCTTCTCCGTGGTTGCCGCATTGAAAGAAAACCTCTGCATCTGGTCATCACGTACAAAAACATCACTATTACGGTAAGTCACATATCTTCATAATAAAACTGTCCAATAAATTTCAAAGACGTGCATTATACTCTGACAGGCTAAAAATTCCAACCAATTGATTTTGTATCATTTTCTCGATAAGATAAAATTATCCGTTAATTTTTCTCATTGTTTTTCCCAATAAATATTTTTTTATGCTGTTTTAAATTTGGAATATCAGAGGTAAATACCCTTAATCTTTTATCCAAAAGGATAAAAGATTTTTCAACGTTTACTTTACGAAATTTAAAACTTTTATTGAGTCTCATTTGTAATCTTTTTTTTAAACTTTTTTTTGTTTTTTACAACTGCATTCTTCGACGCAACAAGTAAAACTGATAGTATTTACATATAAAATTATTAACGGTAGCGTGAAAGCTTGAACAATAACCATCCAGTGATGGTAGCCGTTAGTTAATCAATACGATGAGCGAGATGGACTACGTCCTAGGAGACGGATGTCAATTGTTAAGGTTGTCGCGGGGCCACCGACGCTTCAGTCTTCTGTTGGGATTATTAGGTAATGTGGTGGATGACAAGTTTTTGACGAAAGGGTTCGGATGATGGAGTAGTTTGGAATGGAACGTTTTGTAGCGGGATTGGGCTAGCTCGGTAACAAAAGGGACATTTAGGTCGGTATGGATAGTGTGATTGGATACATAGAAAGGGGATATTTTTTGGAAAGGTTTAGGATGACCTGCTTGACTTCTTTAGGGGAGAAAGGTTTTGGTGGGAGGGAGAGAGGTAATGGTTCGTCAAGTTCGTTAAGGGTTTTTCAAAATGGTAGCGGTCTTGGATGTCTGGGTGTGGATTGAATACTGTAGAGAGGTGTTGGGCTAGGAGTTGGGCTTTGTCCTCTTCGGATTTGGCCCAAGTTTCATCTGCCCGTTGTAGAGGAAGAGATGTGTTTTTATATTTGAGGATTTTTCTTGTAGCAGTCCATAGTGAATTGTCGTCAGTTGTTAGTGATTGTGTATAAGTCGAGTATTGGTTGTTTAGGTAATTTTGCAGTTCGTTGGATAAATGTTAAGTCAAACGATTAAAAAGTCTTTTGTCGGAGGGGTATCGAGTGTGATGCCATCGAGCTCTTGCTCGGCGCTTGAGGGATATCAGGTGTCTTATGTGGAGGGGTAAATTGTGTGGTCGAGTTGCACTACTTCTTGTCCTAATGTATATTTGGGAGTCCCACATGCTCTGCTGTATTGAATTAGTCAAGTGTTCTACGTTGTCGTCTAGTTGCTGAGCGGTTTTGAGGGGGTTTTTAGGTTCAGTTTTTGTTCAAGTGTTTCTCGAAAATAGTCCCAATCTATTGGTCCGTTGATCAGGGAGGTTCGATGGTGGGTTGAGTTTAGGTTGTATGTCTAAAGTGAGGACAACAGGGCTATGGTCGGAGGAGAGGTCGTCTAGGGTGTAGGTATCGGAGTATAGAGATGAAATGTTCGAGCAAACAAAGAAGTCTAGAAGGTCAGGTCTTTTTCTTGGGGAAGTTGGCCAGTAGGTGGGATGGGAAAGTGCTAGGATGGAAAAATCGGTTCGAGAAATGACATTGTGAAGGAGTCGGCCTCTCGGGTTTGCCACACGGCTGCCCCAGCTTGGATGTTTAGCGTTAAATCGCCACCGCAGATGAATCGACGTCCGAGGATTGAAAAGAGAGATACAAAGTGGTTGTAACCTGAAGCAATAAACTTTTCAGTTTTCAGCTTTGTTTTCTTAATGTTAATTTTTTAACTTAAAAATTCTACTTAGTGATGAGGATGTTGTGCGTGGTGTGGCACTTCCTGATGATGGATGTTCGATCATGTATGCGTCTATTGCATCGGAGTTGTGTACAAAACTCTGCGAGGCGCAGTTACGTTTTTGAGAAACTTGGTCCTACCATAGAAAGCCAGGTTCTGGACGCCCAAGGGTAACAGAATCATAGGTTGACCGTTTTTTGATTTTGAGAATTTTGCGAAATAGGCACTTAACTGTTTCATTCATGATTCATCAACTCCATGAAGTTCGGGGTGTCCAAATTTCTAAAGGCACTGCTCGAAGAAGAGTAAATCAATATGGACTGATGTCTTTTCGCCCCATAAGAGGACAGTATTGCCCAGAACACAGAGTTGCACATCTCGCATTTGCTCGAGACCACAGCCATTGGTCTTTGGTCGATTGGTCTGCTGTACTTTATACAGATGAGTGTAGATTTGCTCTATCGTCTCTAGATGTAGTTTCACAGACTCGTTTCCCAGAGCTAACTTTTTCAACGTAGCTCAGTGATGGAGTGGGCGGGAATTTCAATGGAGAGTTGGTTGTTGTTCGTGGAGGGTCACTCGCTATGTGGTTGAAATTCTGGAACTTCATGCGTCGCCTATCCTCGATGAAATCAGCGACAATCCTATTCTAATGCACGATAATGCCCGTCTGCATGTCGCTCGCATAGTACAAACATACCATCCTCAGCATAGCATCAGGGTCAGCGTGGCCAGCTCTTTCTCCATATTGAATCCCATCTTGAAAGGACTTTTTGCGAAGAATGGGCTAACCTCCAACAGAATGACATTTCCACACTGGTAAAAAGTACGCCGAGACGTCTTCGAGATATAATTAATATTAATGCAAGAGGAGGAAATACGCGATATTGACATTAAAATATAAAACAAAATTTAAACAAATTTTATCTCTCCATCCTTCTTTATTTTTCATTTTTCATAGCAATTTATTAATTTATTTATTTTTTCCTTTTGAGGGAAAAAGGGTCAATTATAAAACGTTTAAAACCGTGAAACTTTGATTAATATATAAAAATATATAAAAATCATGTTATATTACAAGTGGGTGGAATTTTTTGCCTGTCAGTGTATATTAGAATTCCTTTCGTCATACGTTGGCACAATCCGGATGAGACCCGACGACTTGACGGCTACCCTCTGGGGGCACCGGAGCGGTCAATCTCAAGTCAGATTAGAGCAGCTTTAGACTAATTTGCCGATTTGATAACAAACATGGATGTCGTTCCTTAATCAAGCATTATCAACAAAATATATATAATGGATTAAATTGGCAATAAGTAAAGTTTAAAATATTCTCTGCTATGCACCGTTAGTGACGTGCGATACCGATCGATAAAGTATGTGAAGTATCGAGTATTGTCATTCCAATTCGTAATATAGGAAAAAATCTTCAGAGTTTTCGTCGAGTGTTCAAATAATATTGAATTGTTATTTTCCGTTCGAAACTTACCTTTCATCAAACTGGGATTTGATTAGTTACTGTAAGAAGCGCCTACTAGCGGCTTGTGTCAACAAAGTTAATTGAAATTTCAAATTGTTGGTTGTTCTGCTGATAATTCTGGTAACTCAAAATTCTTTCCCGCGTCGCACCTTTTTTCAATTTCAGTCATTTTGTATATTTTTGTCTTCAGGCACCTGAAAAGTGTTCGCCTTCTTTCTCGTAGGTACATACCTAATCATGTTTCCTCCCAAAAGTAAAGCCAGGAACTCACTTACCCGACGCCTTGCCAAATTTTGGTGGGGTGTGCACCCCTTGAACACCAAGTACACGTCGCGTACAGTCCACAGCGTTTATCACAACAATCACTATCACAATCGCAACGCATTCTTTGTTCTTAATGCACTATTTTGAGCAAAACCTTGTAATAAATTGTTAATTAAATTTTATGAGCTCAACCATTTAATAAATTGTTTGTTAAACTTAATTGTTTTAAATAAAGTTACTCCTAACCATCATAATTAAACAATGTTTATAAAAACTTATGCATTTTTGATCTCGTTTAATTTGGTTTACATTAAAATAACATGTTGTAATTAATATAACGACAAAATTACATGTACTTAGTTTGAAATAAACTACAAAAAATATGAGTGTCCTGTTCTGATGCTACCCGACATTACAAAATGGTGTAATTTTACGAGCAAAACTATGAAATAAATTGTTAATTAAATTTTATGAGCAAAACCGTGTAATAAATTGTTCCAATTTTAGTATATGTACCGCCGAAGCGAGTACAATAAATTGTTAGTTAAATTCATTATATCAAAAAATCGTATTCCGGTGTTTTGATTAATTTTCTACCAAACCATTAAAATTAATTTTTTAAATAAAAACTAATTAATTTTTAATCACAGTTAATTTGGTTTATATTAAAATAAGTATGTTGTAATTAATATAACGACAATAATACATGTAGTTTGAATAAAAATATGAGTGTCCGGTTCTTTTGTCTTCGACTGTACTCGATGCGACCCGACGAAAATCTGGACAGTGGGGATCGCAGAGCGTCGGGTAGGTTAGCGTGGCATAGCATCGGGTAGATGTGCACGGGGGTAATGCAACCTTATGGAAAATCGGAGTTTGGATTTGCGTCGGGTAGCATCGGGTAGCGTCGCATGGCGTAGCATCGGGTAAGTGTGTTTCTTGCTTAAGGCATGAGGTTATTTTACTAAGAAAACTGAATCGTCGCCATATTGTACGGCAATAAGGTGGAAATACGTCTAATATTTTTTTCATTTCAACAAAACACCCGTTGATCAATTTTCCCAAAACTTGATAACTATAAAATTGAAATATCAATTAATGTGTTGACAGCTTTTCCTTGTTCTTAACTATGTGCCCTCTGTATGAAAAAAACACTTAAAAATATTTTTTTTTAAACTGCAAATTCTTGTTTAATTTAACGCATTAGCGTATTTTACCCACAAGTCTTAAGTTGAGTAAGTTGATGATTTATGAATAAACGAAAAAGTACTCATGTGAGTAAGTACTCGTTAGTATCGAATATTTCTTTCGATACCAGTATCGAGTGCAGGTATCATTTTCTGATACAATCGTATGTGGGTTGTATAGTAAAAAAAAAGGAACGCCAATCACTTGCCAAGCTTTCGGCTTTTATAATACCATATTCAGGGTAGTATTGTACTGGTTCAAGTCGCATTGTTGTCTACAACTGCCAACTGGGACTAACAAAAAGACTAGTTGTGGTTTTCTTA